AATTCAAAATGAACCACCAAACAATGTCTTTTTTCTCCACTCCACACACTTGTAAACAAACAAAAAAATCGTATTGACATGATAGATACACTTTATTGAAAAGTAAATTAACACAAAAAAATAAATATATCCATTGTGGTGATTATTTCAATGAAAATAAATAAATGAATTGATACTGATATATCATTACAGAAATTAGTAGTACCTAGTAATTTTTTGAGTCCCAGCAACAATACTGGCTTTTTCAAATCCCTGTTGAATCAGTTTTTATTCATTGCGAACAGAATCAAATTACACTTGACAGTTTTTCTTTGTTTTTATGGAGGTGATAACTGCACATTTGTTTTGGTGCGTAACAGACAAGTATTGTGAAAACAGGATAAGATTCTTTGCCATTTATTTTGACTAGGAGATTTTGATACATGGCCACTCACATAAATAAATTCGGCATACACTCAGGGTTATGATATTTATATATATTAGTTGCAAATTGCAGAAACGATGAAATTACATGTTTTCTGGATCTCTCGTCAGAGGTGTTGACTATCCTCGGGGCGGACTTCCGGGCATTTTCTACCGCCTGGCAACCCTCGCGGTGAAAACAAAGACCAAAAACTCGCAGAAAACGGTACTTTGCGATGGTTGTTGAGAGTCCCCTGAACAGCGCAACAAGATTAGCCCTACGTGTGTAACATATATGAATTTGGTTGTTCAGGATTACTTCAAAGTTGAGTTTGTGTTGTTTTCTCAAGTTTTCACCGGCTCCACCGGCAGTTCCACAGCAGCGCGCACAAAGCCCATAGAAATACGTGGTACAGTGGTGCGCGTCTTAGCAACGTAGAACGTATGTGACGTAGCTCCGCCCTCGAGGATACACAGCTGATTAATGACTTTATATTTACCTTTAGGTTCATTATATAGTCAAAAAGTGAGTTTATACTTGATATGAAGTCATTTGTTTTTAAGCAAAACAGGACAGTAGTATATTGTAGTAAAAGTTGCAGCTTTAAGCATCTCACTTTACGACAATATTAAAATCATTTCTCACCTTGATTATGTTTCTTGGTAATGGAGTTTTGTAACTCATAGTAGTTGGTGTGACAGATTCAACAGATGAGATAACATCAGCATCATCATCGTTGTTGCGACTCAAATCAATATCATTTATTTGATTCAAATCATCACCCAGTGTTGTCAGTGAAATCTAATAAAGTGATAATAATTATATCAGTAAAATAAATAAACTGGTCAGATCTTTCATATTTTGAGATATCTTTATGTTATGGTATTATGACTAACCAAGTAACTCAATAAAAGTTGTCCTGTGTACAGACTGATGGTCTTTATGAGGTTGATTAATTAATTTCTGCATAAAAAGTTGACAACAATTTCTCAGTTTAAAGGGTAATTTGTCAACAGATATTCAAATAAAAATATATATGCTGTTTTTCTTGATACAGAAGTCAGTGTAGAGACTCTGACCAAACTGAGCCAAGTGCAGTTACTTGTCACATTAATAGACAGGTGGTCTTTATATCTGTCTGATTTAACTGTAATATAAGCGATAACAATGTCCCCTAAAAATGTTAACACACAATTCAGAAAAATGATTAGACCTGAACACCCCTAAGCTGCAAGTAGGGAAATGTCCCAATACATCTTTTAATGTTTATAACAAGGAACTGCTCTGCTATCATGGGGTAAAATACTCATATTTTGATAAATTATTAAATTTATCCCACTTGGCAGGATACGGCCTTATATATATGTTATTTTGAAAAAGAAGCTTGCATGATGTTTTACAAATTATGATTTGAATGATACATTGTTTATACCTGCTCCAGATCATTGTCTTCCTCATTCTCATCCAAGTCCATACTCTGCTGATGTTCACTGCCCTTTGGTGTTATTGGTGTAACCATGACATGTACATCAAGTGGACTATATTTACGACTTTTAAGTCTTGGTGTTTTCTCCATGCTTCTGTTTACACCTAGAACTGGTGTATCCAGTGATGTTGATTTTTGATATTTCTGATTCAGACAAAATAAAAGATAAATCTTGATTGTTAACCTTTTCACCACAAGTTCCCTTTTTTCATCACAGACCCATCTTGTTTATAGCACATTCCTTCAGAAGATTGGGACAAAGACTCAAATTCTGTCTGTTGGCTCTAAATTGTTTTTACTTGGTTGTCATAAAACAACTAAGATATTCAAAATAAATGTCCATTTCATATAAAACCTGCAAGTGTTTCCAGATAGTACCATAAATTGCTGGAAATGTGCAGCCATTTGCAAACATGAGTTGTTGATGGCATGCATCGCATCACATCACACACAAACTTTGCAAGAGTCTGCAAAGTTACTGATGTAATCAAACAGCATATCACGCACCAATATGAAACTTGCAACTCATCAAAAAAAAAGGAAGTTGTCTAAAACACATTCATGCTTCCGTAACCAGTTTTAAGGATGAATAAATTATATTTTACAGGGATACAATAGCAACAACTTCCTCACCGAAGTCCAGTATACCACTCGATATTGCACAATTTCACAACATACTTATGACAAGCAATATATGCATTGACCTACCTTTTCAACCGTCTTCTTAGATTTAGACGTACTAAAAGATTTCTTAGATTCTACCGGTAGTTCACTTGTATCATCACAAATATTATCTATACTGAAAAAAAATGGTGCTTTTTCATCTTCAGCTTCGTCAGTACTTGACAAATTAGATTTATTTTTTCCTCTTCGAGAAGTAGTTGGACACTGAAAAATGTTACATTATAGACAATAAAACCAAAGATTCACAAATTCAATTGATAATGTAATATTGAGTATATACATGAGGCATATATTTATGGAAGATATGCCTGGAAAGCACAAGAATACAAGAATGTACGTGAATCACACACTTTTCAGGAATTTCCTGAAATTATTCCTTATGAGAACAAATTTGAGGTATCCAAACTAGTTAGCCTTGTGATTGACAGAACCTTACATTCAGCAAACTATCAAGAACTTGTACCGGCCATCCTTAGATATTTGTCAAGTTAGCTGTGTCTATCTTCAAAACCTGTAAAGTCCTATTAAAGGACAGTGGTCAACGAGCAACAAGTTTGTAGTCTGTGTGAACAAGATATGTATTTTACATGTGTTGTACACCTTGCATAGAAGTGATGGTACTAATATTGTACACAACACAGAATGGCACAAAGACTATTTCCCCTTAAATATTGGAACATTGACAATTAGTTTCAAGTACAGATATGATAAATGTCAATTTTTAATGTTGAAATTTGTTTTGTTCAACACAACTTTACATGTTAGACATGAATTAAAGATCCTTCTGGATAAAACTAAAATTATGATTAATATTTCAGATACTCACACACAACATAAGACATAGAACTCTGTGAAGCTGAAGCAAAGTACATTGCAATAAAATCACCAGCTCAATCAGTTTATTGTAATACTCAGTCCTGTAAGTACTAACACATTAGCATACTGACTGACAGTCAACTCATTAATACATGTACATCCAATCAAATAGGGAGACATTTATTTCCAGAAGAAAAATAGCAGAATATATGATCAGGTCCTTCCGCATTTTATACTAGTCTCAGAATTTGTGTGAAGAATAGTGAGATGAATTTTACCAGTGACTGACCTTTTGAGTTGATTTCTTAGATCTTGCACTAGTACCACTGCCTGGAGTGACAGACTTCTTTGAATTCAGCTCACTGGTATTTTCACATATATTATCAATGTTAAAGTAAGATGGTCTCTCATTTTCCTCTACATCTTCAGAACTTGATATGGGTGACTTTTTGTTGTTCTTTTTTGAAGTACTTAGATGCTGAAGGTTATTCAAGGAAATATATGTATATTAAATCAACAATAGCTATAACTATCAAATATTTTTCTCTGAGTTTTCATTATAATAAAACATTTGTCATTAGCACCAATTTGTATAACAGCTATTGCGAAATGTAGACACTGAAAGCATAGCATATCCACTATATATATACCCACGTTGTACATTAAATCACTCGCAAGAGAAAAAAGATGGCCACAGTACTGTGCCCAGTTAAGACAACGGCATCTATTGAAATCCAGTTTTGACCCTAGGGATTACGATACGAGATGACAACTTACATGTACCAGGGCCCTTGGCAATTTGTCAAATATGTCGCCCTCTTGATAGACTGACGATATCAAGTGTCACTTACCATAATGGTGAGTCATAATTGTCTACAGTCCCCATCACATGACTGATTTCAACCATAATGGCCACAACTGACTCAACCCATAGTTTTGAAATCATATAATATGCAACATTAGCCATGTTTGGGTTTCCTTTGCCCATGCAATTGTGTCTAAGATTTGGTCATCTTTATATAGTAATATTTAAACAAAAATCTACTACTACTGGACTCCTGAGTTATTCCCCACTGGCAATTAAAGCAAAAATAGCTCACACTTTCATAAAGAATATCAGGTATCATTATGGCTCAAGATACTAAAAAAGTTCTAATGTTGCCAACAAAACGGATTTAACAGTGACTGACCTTTTGAGTTGCTTTTTTAGATCTTGCACTAGTACCACTGCCTGGAGTGACAGACTTCGTTGAATTCAGCTCACTGGTATTTTCACAAATATTATCAATGTTGAAGTAAGATGGTCTCTCATTTTCCTCTACATCTTCAGAACTTGACATGCGCGATCTTTTGTTATTCATTTTTGAAGTACTTACCGATAGATGCTAAAATTACAAGAAAATATGATAGTAAATTTGCATATGGCTGAAGATTTCATTCATGAAAGACCATAATTGAATTACAATAAAATCTCTCAAAAGCTGAAGACATTTGGAAATGAGCTATTGATAACATGAAGAGGAGAGTAGAAATTTGCAAGAAAGGTGAGTAAGAACTCTGCTGAAAAAAAATTGTTTAATAATGTACATCAGTTTTGATCTACAAACATTTAAAATTTACAAAAGTACTGTAGCTGCCCAGTAAAATTGCAGAGCTACCATTTGCATTGCTGCTCCAATTCTGCACTTCTGGGCAGCATCAGAGTCACTTGCCTTTATCTAACAGGGTGAGAATGGCTTCAGGTTTCAATCACATGAGCTCAGAGCACCATTATATTGATTTATGATCACAAAGTTTAAAGGCCTTTCAAAAAAATGTTGCCAACAATACAACTCTACCAGAGACTGACCTTTTGAGTTGATTTCTTAGATCTTGCACTAGTACCACTGCCTGGAGTGACAGACTTCTTTGAATTCAGCTCACTGGTATTTTCACAAATATTATCAATGTTGAAGTAAGATGGTCCTTCCTCTTCTTCTACATCTTTACTGGATATGCGTGACTTTCTTTTATTCTTTTTCGAAGTACTAGGATACTGAAAGTTACAGGAAAGAAGTCAAATTTGGTTGCTATTGTGTACAAACACTTTCACATTCATATGCAAATAAAAACTCACTTATTTTTATCATATCCTTCCACTGTAAATTGACCCCAATCAAGAAAACCATGTCAAAGTAAAAAATATTATCCATCTATTATTACAGCATGTAATATCTACATCCTAAATACCAATTATGTAATTGATCATGTGCGAAAACGCATCAACCATACTGTGCATTGGTCGATACCCCTAATATAGTCTTTTTTGCAGTTTGTATTTCCTAGTAATTCACTTGACATTTTGTCCAAAATTGCAACTCACATCATGGCCTATTTCTAATTATTTGCCATTGTTTGGGAGTAAAATTGACAAAAAACACTTTAAAATTATGACAATTTGCCAAAATACCAGCAAATTGCTGATGTCCGGTGAGCATCTTCATCCCTGATAATGTGTAACAAAATATATTGTTGCTGTAGTTACAACACTCATTTTGATACCTTCAAGAAATTCCACTCTTCTTCCTCTTCTTCTTCTTCCTCCTTCTGGTCGGGATCAGCAGAATTTTGTAACTTTGGTAAATTCCAATCAAAACTGTAGTTTCTAGATTTCTGATTTGTCTTGGCATAAGTATGATGCACTTCATGTTTAGGCTTTTTATTTGAAGCTAACCAACTTAATTCACTGATTGCGCTTTCACTTCGAGTGTCATCAAATTCAAGTTCCCTTTCGGTGTACAAGGTTCTCTTCCCTTTCATCTGAAATCAGAAGAAATATAAAATTTACCTGGGTATTAAAAGTGAATTCTTTGATGTTTACTCAGCAATTATCATTCAACCATTTAAACCATTTGGTGCTGCACATTTTGGTTTAAAACTATTGATGCACCATATGTTTCAATACATTTGAAATACAAAATGAACAAACTGAAAATAATTACTCATTAGTATTAATTTGCTATTAAAGTACCGTAATACATACAAACTACAGTATTATCTACTGGTATACAAAAAGAGAAAAAACCTTCATACAAAACTGTAGCCTGGAATCCTTCCCAGTGCACTCAAGAATGGTCTGGTGAATTTGTACGTAAACAAGTACATGCCACAGAATTCTGTGTCACCATCAATTGGCTGTCTCCATGACTTCAGTACATTACCATGGGAACTGCACAAACAGACTCAAACCTAAAGTCCCTTGCACAGCCCTGCAGACCGATTCACTAGTATATTATTCATAGTCTCACGATAATAATCTAACAGGTCTGTGAAAGTCCAATTTTTTATATCACACAAGTTCAACAAGAGAATTATGTCCTGTAACACATCTATGAAATATGTAACACAGTATTAGCAGGTTAAATCCTACCTTTTTGCCTCCATCTTTCTTACTACTGTTAATAGTAACTATTCTGTCGGTTTCATCAAAACTAGATAAAAGAACAACAATCAATACATGAAAGACTTGAAATCAGTTATCATTCCAGCAGTATCTTGATTATACAGTCATTGTAAAATGAAATTATAGTTACCGCATTGCGTTTGGCTGCATTGACATTTCAGAACTAAAAATGAGAGAGGACACTGAGGAAATGTTATCAAATAAAAATTAGCATTCATATGCACACCACAATGCTTGCCTTTGTGTCAAATTTAAACCAAATTGGTGAAAGTGTGTCTGACAATTAACACATAAAGGTGAAAAACACAAAATGATGAATTGATAACAAATGATGAAGGCCATCAACAAGAACAAATTTACATCTTAATAAATGTGTGAAAAATAGGTGGTGTCACTTTGATTAGATGAAACTTTCAAATATAGGACAGAGGACATTTGGTATAGGAAGAAAGGAACGCATTGATTAGCCCATGATGGTATCAATGTCATTACAGAAGAGAATGCATTCCTGACATACACAAGCTGTCGAACACAGCTCTGCTTGTATACCACATAGTTATGTGTCAAGAATTGCTGTTACCCCAGCAATGAATGGTTGTCTACTGAGGGGCATTGCGCGTAAAATGTTATTACTACTCAGTAAGTCTGGGGAATTAACATAATATGGAAAAATTCTTATCTGCTATTAACACATGTTGACGCAGTTTTTTTCTCCATTTATTTTGGCTTTTCATGGACATGCACATACCTTTCATCTTGTTCTTTGTAGTTTATAGCTTTATGTTTTCTTGTTTGTCGCATCTTCACAGAATTATCAGAGATTGTGAAAAAAAATTCAAAGAAATAATGATATATTAGGTTGTCAGAATTACAGGCAACATAAGCAAACTTAATGCTGTGAATAATAAACTGAATTGAATTCATAGCCATTTCAATTCTACATCATAGTAGTGCTTTTTCGACAGAGGCTTTAACCCTTGATTTCATGGCTTTGTTATGAAGTGTCAATCCCCATAAAGTACTCCCCCCCCCTCAGCCATAGATAAATTTAAGCAAAAATATTTAATTATTTTGATCAACCCTTTTATGTTTACAGTTAATGCCACAGACCTACAACTAAAATGCTAGGCTATGTTTACAGAAGAGGATTAAAAGTCTATGATACTGTGAACATAAAGAGTGACTCAATCTATTTTAATGCCAGTGAAACAAGGTTTTTCACCAAAAGTGTGGTTATTTTCATCGACTAGGTTATGACACTGTGAAACTTTACAATATTTACACAGTCATATCGACTCATGGCAGAAGTGAAGCATTTTAAAACACTCCAAACCAAAGCCATAAAACCAAGAGCCAGTGTGGTTTGCATGTTGAAAGCCAAAAACACAATGATAGGAATTTGACACTGCCATAAGAACAGAAGGACATTGTGTAAAAGAATCAGTATATGAGTGGTAGGCATATACATATAGCAAACTGAAAGTGTGGTAGTTGTCGTGCCATGTATGTGAAAGATGGCGACTTTGACTATTGTGCAGACTAATGAGTACAAATTGAGATATTACCAATTAGCTTTAACTAGATAATTTCTTTGATTGGAAGGTATCGAAGAAGTGACTGGCAGTAATTAGTGCACTTTGCCCCAAGGTCAAAACTTGTAGTCGTGATGTTCATGTGAAGAGTGCATTGCATTGTGGGAAAATTGATGTTTATCAACACAAATGTCGCACATGCGCAGCACAACGACCACCGCCCATGAAACAACAGGTAAATAATTGACATGAAGAGAAAAACATACCGGCAGTTTCTTTGAAGATGTACCATAAAAATCATCAGATACATCCAAGTCAGTGGACTCATTGAAACCTTTTTTCAAAATACTGGTTGGCATTTTTGAAGGAACTTCTCTGGCTATTTCAATATCTGAATGTTCATCCTGACTGGAAAAATCAGTGGTTTTCTTCCGTCTCTGGGCTGCTTTGGGTGCTTTTTTGGTGAGAGGTTTTTTCCTCGCTGTCTTACCTCTGGTGGGTAGGACATCTTGGATGTCTGAAACCTCTTCTTGGCTGGAATCTTGGTTTTCTTTACCTCTAGTACCTCTAGTTGGTCTTCTGCCTTTCATTGCTTTATTTCTTCCTGCAACTTTTCTACTTGTTTTTTCTTCCACATCTGAGTCCTCATCCTCTTTCTCTTGCTTTTTTTTCAATACTTTTTTTTTCCTAGAATTCTCGTCTTCGTTTTCTGATTCTTCCGTTTCTTGTTGTCTTTTAGTGGATGATTTATTTCTCAAGGATGCTGACATAGACTTATTAATTTTCTCTTTCTCTAGCCCAGTATTACTATCTTGTGATAATGTGGCAGCTTCATCATCGTGGAAGTCAAATGCAGAGAACTGAGGTGACTGACTTGTACTCTGCTTTCCCTTGAATGATGCCTTCATTTTTTGATTTTTTTCATTCACTCCAGCAGTTTCCTTGGTTTTCTGACCTTTCTTAATAATGCTTCTTCCAATATCACTATCGGGATTACTTTCCTGGCTGCTAGATAGTCTGGTAGACCTTTTTGGTACAAAGTTTTGAGAAGCCGATTCATCCATCTTCTGTTTTCTATTCTTTCTTTGTTGAACTTGTTTTTGTTTACTCTTTGCTCCTCTCAAAGTAGGTTTAGTTTCTTCCTTGAACTCATCTTCACTATCAAAGTCATAAGGAGAACTTTTATTCTTGGATGGCTGATAATCTTCAAAATTATACATTGATAAATCTATATCAGGTTTGGGTGTGCTATTGCTCTGAGGTTTCATTTTCAATGTCATGTTCTTCTTTCCCAGTGCAGATTGTTTATTAAGAGGTTCTTTTTTACCTCTAAGGAGATGCTTAGAAGAAGTTGGTTTTCCATCTGTGGCTCTTTTTTCAGTAGTATTCTTTAATTTATCTTCTTTTTCGTAACTATTCTGGGTAAATAAACTGTCTTCCTGAGAATCCATTTGATTATCATTGGCATCCAATTCCTCTGTAATATAATAATTTTATGTTCAATATTATGAGGTAATCACAAAAATACTTCAAAGTAAACACTAAGACAGTATGGTGATCATATTATGGGGTATTCTTAGTAATTTATTATTATACATGTACATCTTGTTAGTAAGGCCAGACTTTTATTATTCCTTGTTTCGCGAATCCGCCGAATGAACAGGAGCAGAAAATGAAATAAAAATTTTATTTCAGCATAATTTCTCGCGCCCACCTACTTGTAAGTGCAAAAAATTGCTAAAAAAAACTTATTTTTATCTACATTTTTTTTTCCGCCCGCCGCATAACAAACCCATGTTGCATTTTCGTGGAAGTATCATGATCAAAGTGCCGAAGTCTTGCTCAGATGAGAAACAAGGTTATACATGGAATAACATTTTATTTCATTTCTTCTCTCCGATCAATGATCTCACTTACAATTCTTTGAGAATCATACGTGTCCATATTGAGAGATATTGCTCTGGAACAGCATTATTTAAAACAAAATGGCCACCGGTTAGCCTTTTTGAATCAGAACGTCAATTCAATACATGTATATCTAAGACATGATGTACCGGGGTACAATGAAGATATAAAACAGACACACGAAATCCATAAGTCTAACAACGGAAAGTGTTTGCAGGTTACATTTAAGTACTACCGGTACATGCAAACAATCACTCAAACACAAACTGAAATACACATTTGACCATTGAAGTGCATCAGTTTAAATTTTCCAAGTATTTTTAGATGCAGCATAATTATGTTAATACTGTAATAAAAGCACACTTTAAAATACCTTCTATAGTTTGCATGGGCTCTGCAGCAGGTGACATAGGAGCACTGGAGGTTAAGGTACCTTCCTCAGTAACAGTACTTAGTGATGGACTGTGGCATACAGTCTTGTTCCTCAGAGAAGATTTCTGAAAACAAATCAATAAACAAAATTCAATTGTCTGGAGCTGCCTCAGTCTAGGTAGTTGAGCAAATTCAAAAAAATGGGAATTCATAAAATACAGATTCATCTCCATAAATTTGAGTGTTCATCTGTCCCCCCTTACATATCTTCCATATACACTACATCAGAGGTTCAAGATAACGTATTCGCTCTATTAGTAGCATGTTTGGTTATGTGAATTATGTTGAGATGTTTTTATGGTCAAAACAAGTAACATTTTTACAGCCAATGAGATTTTGAATTTATATGCATGGGAATGGGAAACATGCTTCTAATAGAGCAAACATGATACTGTAACATGACTAATTTTCATAGGGTTTAAATTTCACTGATGTACTATTTCATGCATATTCAGTGGATTTTATCATTTAGATTATGTGTTCTACGCTAAATTTTACATAATTATTCATTGGGTTTTAATTTAGCGTATTTTCCAGTCAGCAAAATTAAAACCCAGTGAATAATTAACCCTTCTACAGTAGTTTAAATTTTCATTGTTGATGTCATAGCATTTCATATTAGTGAATATTTTACATTTGGGGTGGCGTTAAATGAGTCATTTTAAATCTTGTCCATGGCTACGAATATACGTTTTTTATTTGTTTGAATTACAAAGTATAAAAACATTGGACCACAGCCTACGAAAATATCCCCTCTGTACCGTGTACGGACACGAGAATTACCGAACTCTGAACCGGTCACGATATTTACCGTATACAAACACAAAGACGTTACGATATTCTTAGGATACCGATTTCATTGCACGTGTACATAGCATTGTCACCTGCATACAAAGCTGTGTTTACGGGGACACATAACAATGAGAAAACGACATGAGGTGAACAATTTCTGCATAACAAACGTCTTACATGGTCATTTTTAAATGAATCTTACTAAACAATACTACGGGAGTCTCGCCACACTTGCACAAACTTGTCCTGTCCTTCGACAATGTCGGCACATTCGTAGGACTGTCACCCCCATGGATCGAATGGTATTGTCCTATTGTTAAACGCTAACCAAAATTAGTAAACAACATGGCGAACTCGACTCGCCGGAATGCCCGGGCGTCGATCATAAAAAGTGTGGATAGCTGCTCGAATTCGCCACTCTGGTTCAAATTTTGATCATAAACGAATATTATACAGTACAAGGATTGCTGCCGCTGCCCCGCGCGTTAGGTATTCCCCCCTGTTTGCTTCCGCGCGTGCCCGGACACTCCCTCGCGTGTCCGCGCGTTAAGTAGTAGGACCCCTTTTTCAGCGAAAATTAACTCCAGCGAAAATAAAGTATTCCACAGTATTTGATATTCCTGCATGGACAAAACTTTTGACCAAACTCACCTGGGTATAGCCCAAATAGAAAATTTGATTATAACCACTGAATTGCATTATATTTCCAAATTTACTATCTGTGAATGACGTGAAAGGACTTACCACAGTGGGAGTTTCTCCTTTGTCAACCCTTTTAGGCAGCAAATATTGATTATTGGTGCAATCAAGTTTATCCAGTGTCACTCGCAGACTAAACCTGTTAATATATATGCAGCAGGTTGTTAGTGTTAAACATTATGTATTTAAAAACTGGGTGCATGGATGGGATAAAACAGAAACATTAAACAGTCAAGATCATAGCAATAAAATGAGTCCAATGTGTGTAAAATCCATCAATTATTCTACATCTGAAACCGATTGCATTTATCTGTCCGTTAAACATCATATGTTCGAATGCCTGCTTTATTTGTTAATTGTACGTGCATCAAGTTTACATCATATATTCAAACACGTTTTTTTTGCTTATTTCAGAAGCAGAAACACTATCAGTGTGTGATGGAAACATAATCTTGTCACTAAACGCAATAGTTCACACAGCGTAAAACATTTGGGCTGTTATCTTTCAATAAATCTTTAAAACAGGTAAAAAGATTATCTGCTATGCGTTGTTCAATACGATCACCATACTGCCCTCATGCATACTTTGCGATATTCTTGTGCTAACCTCATAATATTTACATAATATTTCAATGCACCATGAACGATGATTGTCGCCCCTTGACATGGCAGACTTCAATACACAATTATGGCTATGCATCAATGAACGACTCGGTATGAAAGATATGGCTGAGCTAGGTCTTTTTATCTTTTATGTTCTCCATAACTCACAGGTTAGTCAACAGTTACTCAAAATTCAAGTTACTAATTGTGGAAATTTAACAAAAACAAAAATGTATGTTGCCCATACTTGAAGTTCTGTTAATTATTAAATAAACATTGAGTTAAAATTTAGGGGTCGTTTTTAAAATATGGGGGTAACTG